ACAAATGGTAGAATTTAAGCTAGTTGAGCACTAGAGGGCAAAACTCTCCACATTTTCAGCATTATACAGGCCCATAGGAAAAAAAAATTTCTCTCATGGCAAAGCCAATTATAAAATGAAATTAAAAACATTTCAAACTTACTCAAATAATAATGACATTTTTAAGTCCTGAGAACTGTGGGGAAAATAGCTGTGGAATATGAGATAATAGGAAAAACAATGGTTCCTAAGTTAGGTCAATGACCTAGGTCTTGGTTCATCATTTCCATTAATTTAATCCAGTGAAACTGAAATTAAGCATGGCCAAGTCACCAATATGGGGCTTCAGTTTCCTCATATGAAATTAAAGTGGTCAGTGTAGGTAGTATGGAAAAATCACTTTCCAGCTCTACCTCTCTAAAATAGTCATGATAAATAAATCTTTTCAATAAAAGTAAAAAACAGTTCCATATTTATTTGAACACTTCACACTTGTTCATTATTTCCACAGGCCCTCATTTTTTCATAGAGGATACTTTATTTTCAAAGAAAAAAGATTTCAATACCAGTGAAACCACTAGGACACAAAATTCTTCATTCCCAGCGCTTTAAGAGGCTAACAAAAAAAGGTAAAGGAGTCCTCCCTAAAAATCAGGGAAGAGATTGCAAAACTCCTCTTTGGATCCTATCTGGAGTTATCGTTGGAAAACAAAAACACCCTTCAACCCCACAAAGGCCTGCTTTCTACCAATCAGAAAGATGTGCTTGGTTTACCTGTATTACCTTCGTGATTTTAGGTTACATATATTTTGTTGAATGAAAGAGATAAGTAACCCAGTGTTCTCACGCTAATCTCAACCATTCAATAATACAAATTAGGTTGTCTTAATCTGTGGGAAGGTGGCTATTATCATGTTATGAAGCATGAGATCCAAGCCAAATAGAATCAATTGATTGTGAATTTTCCTGCTTTTAGAATCATGAGCTATATAAACCTCTTTTCTTATAAATTACCCAGTTTCAAGTATTCTGTTCTAGAAATAGAAAACAAACTAAGACAGGCATGGTGCTTTCACATATATTATCCATTTTTAACCCTCAAAACATCCTGCTGAAGTATTACTCGCATTTTACCAATAAGTGTTAGGAAGATTAAGTAACTTGTCTGAAATGACACTGATAAGCACAGGACCTTCTAGTTTAATTTTAAAGTATTACATCCAAAAGTGAGGATTTCCATATGGTAACTTAAAAAAAAATTCCTGATAACATTCATGATTTTAATTCAAGCTGTATCACACTACTGTGTAATGCCATTTTATTCTCCACTATCAACAGAATTCTCATCTGAATACATAAATAGTTTACTTAATAAGGCAACTTAGTGAATTGATACATTAGTATTCAAAATAACCTATTAGTGTGTAGCAGTTCATTAATATTTACAAACCTTATATAATTAGCTGAGTCAGGGAATATGAATCTGATAATATTCTGTTTACATGTCTATACTCTAGGATTTGATTTTCAAACATATTCTTTTAATCACCTAGGAATCTTTTCTCCAAGTAGAAATTTTCAAGAAAGCCTGATTTATAAAACAAATAAAAACGGAAGCTTTTCTAGAGAAGGTAGCATGAGGTCCAGGGCTCTGCCAGCTTGGCCTTCCCACTGTTCCTTAAGCTTCTCTTGCACATACTCTTTCCAGCTAGTTTCTCGAATTAATAAGGAAGTCTTCTGTTTTGATTAGAGATTTTAGTAAAATTTATACAGTTTTTAATTTTTTAGTTGTAGGTGGACATAATACCTTTATTTTATTTTTATGTGGTGCTGAGGATCGAACCCAGTGCCTCATGCATGCTAGGCAAGTGCTCTCTCTACCTCTGTGCCACAACCTTAGCCCTATACAGATTATTAATTGCCAATAAAATACAAGACTCATGGTAAACCAAATATATAAATATTTAGTTATGAATGGACACAATGCCTTTATTTTATGTATTTATTTTTATGTAGTGCTGAGTATGGAATCCAGTGCCTCACACGTTAGGCAAGTGCTCTACCGCCGAACCACAACCCCAGCCCCACCAAATATATTTTCCAATGTATAAGACAGAATCTCTTTAAAGAATTATGCAGTGAACAGAAGCCTAATCCTTGCTTCCTTAATGCAAACATCAGTTTGGTCCTTTTCAGGATGGTCATATAGGAGTTCATAGGTCTGTAAGTACCAAACTCATTACCAGATACTCAGGAAAGTCATTACTTTACCATTTCAATTTCTTTTCTTTTGGGGTGGGTAATGGGGATTGAATCCAGGGATGCTCTGTCTCTAAACTTCATCCCCAGCCCTTTCTACTCTTTATTTTGAGACAGGATCTCACTAAGTTGCCAAGGCTGGCCTGGAACTTGAGATCCTCCTGCCTCAGCAGGAGGGTTACAGGCATGTGCCACCATGCCCACTAACATTTCAATTTCTCAAACATAAAAATCACTTACCTTGTGATAAGTACCACAAGTTGTAATGAACAATGGGGATAAATTGTTAATGGAACAGAAAATTGTTCTAATGACCTGCCCCTTTCATGGAGCAGAAAATAAACACACCTTTGCCAAGATGCGTGTTGATGGACATATATCTTGCAGTTCCAGTTAAACTTTTATGCTCCCTATAAGGTATGTGTTTTTTGGTTTCAGGGTCAATGTATTCCTTGGCCAGTCCAAAGTCTATAATGTGTATAACATGCTCTTTCTTATTGCCTTGTCGGCCAATCAGAAAGTTCTCTGGCTTGACATCTCGGTAAATGAGATTCTTTGAGTGCACATATTCCATTCGAGATAGCTAAAAGAGAAAAAAGGAAAAAAAAAAGGTGGAAATACTTTAAATAAGTATATTGCAATTAAAACATGAAAATATTTTCTCTTGCCAGCATAAGGTTTTTGGATTTTTTTGTTTCACTTTTTTCCCCCTTTTTTTGAGACAGGGTCTTGAACTTCCTGGCTGAAGCAATCCTCTTATCTTCCCTCACCCAAGTATCTGGTACTACAGGTGCACACATTGCGCCTGGCTCAGCATAATGTTTTTTTGTTTGTTGGGTTTTTTTCAGCACTAGACATTGAACTTAGGGCCTCATGCATACAAAGTAAGCACTCTATCACTGAGCACATCCCTAGCCCTCAACATAAGTTTTTACTGAAATAAAAATAAAACATCTCTTCTTTACCATCTACCTTCCTGACTTGTAAAGCAAAAAACTACTTTCTTTCACAAATAAATAACAACTGTCAAGATTATAAATAGGAAGATAGTACAGTTGGCTAAAATGATTTATCTCATAATGTCACATTTTCCAAAAGATGACTGTGATTAACTAAAAGGAAAGAAGTATTCCCAAGGTAGGATGTCAGACAACTAGGGGCCTCTGAGACAGGTCCAGTGACACATCTACCTACTGACCACATCTCCTATCCTCAATTGGACAATAGTTCCCCACCCAGCTTTCACTGTTGTAGAAATAAGGAAAGTGAGGTCTAGAGAAATTAACACTGGCCTGACATCAGAAAGCTAGTCAGTAGCAGGGACACAACTTTTATTTAAAAGTAAATATAACCTGGGGCTGGGGTTGTGGCTCAGTGGTGGAGAGCTTGCCTACCATGTGTGAGATACTGGGGTTGATCCTCAGCATCATATAAAAAATAAATAAATAAAGGTATTGTGTCCATCTAAAACTGAAAAAACAAAAAAGTAAATATAACCAAATAATAATCACAGCATTATTTCAAATTTCATTCAATATTTTTATATACCAAATTTTTCTACTTACTTAATATAGAAAAGGAAGCTTAGACATTTACAGTCAGATGTCAAAGTCAATTTTTCTTTTCTTTTTTTCAGTCCTGGGGATTAAACCCAGGAACTCACATATGTATGCTAGGCAAGCATCCTTCCACTCGACTACAACCACAGCCCATCAATTTTCTAATACTTCCAATTTTTTACTGGATGGGTAAGACCATTAGCATTTCAAATGAATAAAAATACATCCGTATTCTTTCTCATAAGGCCTGTCAAGCTTTTCAAATGAACGGTTGCAATGTTTGTTAAGCTGGCATCAGTATATAATTTGGGAGAAGCTGCAAGAGCTGCCTTTTGGCCAGTTCAAAGTGTGTAATAGGAGAGAACTAAGGCAAATTCTTGGTTACACAACTCTGAATGAGGGTTAGTGCAGGGGGTTACACCCTCAATCTCTTCTAAAATGCCACAGTGAAAGAAGAGTACATGACAAAACCTTTAAAATTTATAAATAAAACACTAAAGAAATTACTTTACACTACAACTAAATCTAATTATCCTCTTTCTTTCTAATCTAAATTATATACTATTACTTCAGTTTAGGGCAGGGTTTTGCTCCAAGGTACAAATTCTTAAAATACAGCAAACTGCAGATTCAGTGTGACTTCTTTGAGTTAACACTTTTTGCCCCAGCCAACTTCCTAGAATGCCATTAGCTTATAAAAACCAATTCACAGCTAATTAATAACCAAAAGGCCCATAAGGATATGGCCAGGGGAGTGGCCTTTTGGAATGGCAATGCCATCTTACCAACTGGATGGCTATCATTAACACTGTCTTCAAAGTAAATGTCCGGTCACAGAGGTCAAACAAATCCTCCAAGCTAGGGCCAAGAAGCTCCAGCACCATGGCATTGTATTTCCCACATGGTCCAAAGTAGTACACTTGTGGGAGACCTTCACCTGAAAGCAGAGGGGAAATGAGATATAGAATGGGAGACACAAAAAACAAATAATGAGACAATTGCTTTAACAGTGAATAAGATATAAATAAAGTTCAATTTGTAAAATTTCCATTTCCTTTCACAGTCCCTACTGGAAAAGTTAAAGTGAGCACAATAGCTTCAATGGAAACTAATAATGTAAAGGAAAGGCTAAGTCATTGCACAATATGTTCAAATAAGCAGTTATTTAATACCAGAGTGCCAAAGGCATTTCCACTGCTACATAAAACAGAGAATGGTCCTTGATCCCTTATTGGAACAGAGTGTAAACTATTCTTCCCAAAGGATGCCTGAAAATGCAATATCATAAAAGGTTCAAAGGATGGCTCGCTGAGCTCAAAGACCAGGCTAATTGACCTTGTTGCATTAGCTAGTTTCATTAGCACTCCTTATGCTTCCTGCCAAAGCCACATGGAGCTGTTTGCAACTGCTGCCCCATGGAGAACTCAGATTGAAGGGGTGAAGTCAGAGAGGGTACAGCCTGGCCTCAGGCCAGCACAACTGGCTCTTTTCTCACAGGGAGTCTCTGTAGTGCTCTGTTTTCTATCAGCTGGAGAAAAGTCAACAGATACTTAGCATTTGGTTGGCTGATAAGCAATTATGAAGGGAAAAAGAAGAGGAAAACAAAAACAAAAACCAGGTTTGGTTTCCCCAAGTTTTGAAATTCACAGTTACAAGATGCCAAAACCTAGGCTTTCTTACTGAAGTGGCAACTTGAGAATGAATTTCCCCCTTAAAGTGTACTGGAAATATGAGGCATACAATAAACACATGTTACTGGCATTATGATAACAGTGCATATTTATGAAACTATAGAACATAAAAAAAATTATCCGGTTTCACAGAGAAGAAATATTTCTATTTCACATATTTATGTAAACCAGTCCACAGTCATATATGACATTAATTATTGTTAGCTTCCACTTCCAAGTGTTTTAGACAACAAAACTCCATCTTCCCATTCTCATCTTATTTGTAGGGGTGAAATACAGGCAGAGTAATATACATCTAATATATCCTACTCTACAGGGAAGGTCTTGTATATCTGGAGTTAGTGATTTATTGCTATAGTTAAATAGGCCTATACAGCAATATTTAACTATCTCATGTACTGCATTAGTCTGTCTTGTTCCACTTAAATACTAAACATTAGCATTTTCTTTCAGTATATTCATTCCTGGATTGTATCATCTAATATAGTATAATCTGCTCCAGCTAACTTTAGTGGTTGTTTTCATTTTCCCTGTCTCCAAAAAGGAAACAGGAGTAATTTGAAGTGTCTTTTTCCCCCTACCGTTCTGAAGAAGTCATTTTTTTTTCAGTTTATTTAAAATACACAAAATCTAACAGCTGTTTCCAATGAGTCCTGCTAAGAAATCAAATATAAAACACTACCCTAGAGATTTATTGCTTTTACTATCAGACAGAGTTAGGAAACCTTTTATGTCCTATTTAATATTTTTTGATGCCACCACAATTGTATTTTCCTAATACAATATTACATTCTTCAAAGCTAGCTGTGGTATACTCTGTTGGGAGCCTGCCCAATATCCATTCCCCCTTGTTCCTATTTAATAACAGAACTTCTGACTGTTGTAAAAAACAACTTACTCAGTTAAAACTTTCTAGTCTCACTTGACAATCATGGAAACAGTAATCACTGGGTGGGGTCATTCTAGAACAGTTCTTTCAAGGGAGCTTGCTCAAATGGGAGATATTCTTTGAAGGTTCTGAAGTCATTACACCTTGAGAATGTAAGACAGCTCCAAGAATGGATAGAGAAAAACCAGAAGAGTCATTTATTCCTGTGGAATAGCCATGCCAATGTTGGACTTCCTTTCCTTCTGGATTTTTCTTAACTAAAAGAAAAATCAATCTCTACCTTGACTGAGTTACACCTATTTGAATTTTTTTAAACAGCCAAATCTAATCTTAATTAATAAACATTTTATTCTTTTAAATTGGTTAAATTGCATATCTGGGCACAATATCCTCTTCCTAAAGTACAAAGTTAAAAGTCATGCCTCCTTAGAAATATAATATAGGCATGATTTTCTAGACTTGCAGCCAGTGCTTAAGGATCAGTTAAATGAGACAAATGATCTTGTTTTCAATAATCTTTAGTACCAAATCTAGGCATCTCTTGCCAGAAGTTCCTATGTTTACCAGGAATTCACAAAAGTATTTTGAGTAATGTCTATAATTTATAACAACAATGCCAGTCAAAACTTCTGCCTAGGGCTGAAGTTGTGGCTCAGTGGTAGAGCGCTCGCCTAGCATGTGTGAGATGCTGGGTTCGATCCTTAGCACCACCTAAAAATAAATAAAATAAAGGTATTGTGTCCAACTATAACTAAAAAAAAAAAAAAAAATACCAAAAAGAAAAAAAAAGCTTTAAATTCAACAAAAACTAAACATAAAATAGACAAGGTTATTTCCTATAAGTAATTATGAAGTAACAGGAATGGATGTGGGAGAGTTGGATGGGGTAGATAGGCATTGAATTCTTTGATCTATAGTATATCAAAAACTAAGGTGGTGTTGGGTGCGGTGGCACACTCCTATAACCCCAGCAGCTCGGGAGGCTGAGGCAGGAGGATTGAAAGTTCAAAGCCAGCCTCTGTAAAAAGCGAGGCACTAAGAAATACAGTGAGATCCTGTCTCTAAATAAAATACAAAAATTGGGCTGGGAATGTGGCTCAATGGTTGAGTGCCCTTGAGTTCAATCCCTGGTACGGCCCCCCTAAATAAAACAAAGCAAAAAACTAAGGTGGCTTTACAATCTCTCATCTGCTCTGTAAGTAACACACAAATGAGGTTTCCCACCCAAATCAGTCAACTACACAGGAGCTGTTTAATCACAGGTTAAATCTCTTCTAAATCAAAACTGCAAGATTATGTACATTTACTACCCATGTTATCTTATATATTTCCCCTACAATGAAACAGCCTTTTCATCTATCAATAACATTCTTATAAGCCCTGCTGCACATATGGTTCACATGCGTATCAAGGTACACAGAATAGGAAATGAGGTGTTCACACTATAGCTAATTTCTTCTGCCATAAATTTAACTTGAGTTAAACACACATCAAGGATAATGGCTTCTTTATCATCCAAGCTGTTACCTAAAAAGATTCCATAATGCACTATGAAAATACCTACTCTAAGTAGAGATATTTTTAAATGCACATTAGACTGAGAACTGAAATAGAACCATGTTGAAGTTTTTGGTTTGATCATATTACTGCCTAATAATTAGCATTTTATTCTTTTTTATGAAACCAAATTATAGTTGGACACAGTAACTCATGTCTGTAACCCAGTTACTTGAGAGACTTAGGCAAAAAGATAAGAAGTTTTCTGAGGCCAGCCTGGGCAACTTTGCAAGACCCTGCCTGACTCAAAGTAAAACAAAAGGGATGGAGGGTTAGCACGTAGCACAGTAGCAAAGTGCTTGCCTAACATCTTCAAGGCTCAGGGTTCAATTCCCGGTACCACAAAAAGTAATTAATCAAATTATTGAACTGTAAAGCAAATTCAAATAAGTCCTATACTTGTATCAATACCTGGATATAAAAAATCATATTAATATTTCAATATAAAACATAAGTATATTTTGGTGATGACTATCTTCTAAAGGCAGGCTGGAGAACACTGTGAAAGACAAAATGACTTTGGTAAGCTCCTTCTTTTGCATTATGTATATAGTTTTTTTTTTAAGTTAAAAAAATTAGGATAATTTTTTCTCCAGAATTAAACTCTTGGCTAGGGATGTAATTCAGTGGTATAGCACTTGCCCAGCACACACAAGACTGTGGGTTTAATTCCCAGCACCACAAAAAGAAAATTGAACTCTTTCTCTTTTGATCTCATCATTGTCTGTGAGAAATCAAGGCATTATAAATACATGAGGAAGTATCATCAGGGAAGACAACGTTAACATGTACATTCAACAAGAAAACAGAAATAGAAAAACCAAATGATACTGCATAGGAATTAGGGAGAGGGAAAAACAAAAGCATAATTTTTGAAACATATATATATAGTTGTAGATGGACACAATATATATGTGTGTGTATATATATGTATATACATATAAAAATAATGTATTATAACAAAGATAAGAGATAATACATTGTGTTTGTTTCTTTAAAAAGAAGATATAGAGGGCTGGGGTTGTGGCTCAGTGGTAGAGCACTCACCTAGCACTTGTTAGGTCCTGGGTTCAATCCTCAGCACATAAAAATAAATAAATAAAATAAAGGTATTGTGTCCAACTACAATTAAAAACTAAATATTTTTTTTAAAAAGAACAAATAGAATTCCTTTCATTTCTCTGACAGAAAAATACCTCTCTACAATATGAACCAGTTCATCATGAGTTTACTCAAAATGTTGGTTTAATAACAAAAACAGCTAGATTCAGAATTAAGGAATCAAGATTATTCTATTCTATGATGAAAATGTTTTACAATGATCTTATTCACAAGCTTCCTGGGAACTGGAATATTGCTAGACATATACTGTTAATATGACCTTAAATTGGTATGCTGGAGGAAGAAGATGATTTGCTGCACTAACACTCCCATTACCCTTTCTTTTTTTTTTAAATATTTTTTTATTTGTGAATGCTTTATTTTTTTATGTGGTGCTGAGGATTGAACCCAGTGCCTCACACATGTGAGGCAGGCGCTCTACCACTGAGCTACAGCCCCAGCCCCCTATTACCCTTTCATTACCCTGTCTATGTATCTGTCTTCCCTATTAATGAAGGCTATCTGAAGGTAGTGACTACTGTGTATTAATTATATTTGTATGTTAGCATCTAGCACAGGTCCAAGCATATGGTAGATATTCATAGAACGACAATAGAAAAAGTTATAAGAAATATAACTCAATGACACAGTATTTGAATTTTTTATTTGGAATGCATAATGCTTCCCTCAAAATTCTAA